TGACATGGTATTAATATCTATAAAGTTGTATCAAATTTTTCATTGAATAGAAGTAGTTCAATGAAATTTCTATGGCCAATCTTGGATATAGATACTGCAAAGTTAATTTATCCTGTTCTGATGCATATAAACTCTGTTGTATGTTTAAAAAATCAGTTAAATCTTCACACATAATCTATTGTAAATAACTCCAGCCATAAATCATATATATATATGTACTTAGCCACAACCAAAATTAACATATACAAGCTATCTCAAAATTAATTTAAAATGAACACATTATTCTACAGAAAACAATCTACTCCTCACACAATGGACTTGAAATAAAGCATGTTAATGCATCTGAAATTCATAATATTTTGGCCTAAAACTAGATTAGGATTCAATCATATTTTACTTTAAGTGTAGTAATAACAATAAGGATATCTTGAAACATATTTTACAAACTGGTTAATTAGCATAGGCTAATTATAATAGTAAGTATATTATATACACATAATTCAGTCTGTTTAATAACAGATCTACACCAGTTTTAAACATATCAAAAATGCCGTCATGCCAAATATCAAATTTTACAAGTACAATTCTTACCTCCTTAATGACCTTTCTTAATCTTCCACATTCAGTAACTGAAGCTTTAAGCTTCTGAGCCATTTCAGAACAGCATTCACATTTCAGTACATTCAAGGAGATTTCATGTTGTGTTGACAATTCTTGCCCATTGGTGGATCTCTGTTTAATATTAGAACAAGATGAATGGTCTTGCAATATTTGAGGCACTTCTTGTTGTGTTGTTAGCTCTGCTGTAGCATACTACGAGGAAAATGTTATACATGAGTTGCTTCAACCAGAGACAGTATGCTCCAGTATGATTCACTCACCACATATGTACATCAGAATAAAATAATTTCTTTAAAGAATATTCTTTATAGCAATTAAAAAACTCTGAACATTTAGATAATTAGACAGGGCTTAAAGCCCATACACACATACCTCTGAACTATAAGAGAGGACATGAAGTCCATACTTGTATACATGGGTATCCACAGAAAGTTCTCTAGGGTGGGTGGGGGGGGGGGTGGGCAGCAAAATAGTGTGGAATTGTGAAGTGAATAAACAATTCATAAACATATTCTGAATTAATAAAGAAATAATTATGTTTCTCATGTGGACAACCATGCTTGTATAGCTGTAGACCACAGAAGTGGGTAGGCCAACCTTGTGGAGACTACCGTGAACTATATGGTTCAATACTGCAAAGTGTATATACTGTATACTGCCCTGAAACATTATCAGCTGAATAAAATCAACAATACTGTATTCTCAACATAGATTATAAATGATGTATAGAAATTTATTTTCTTCTAGTCTACAAATACAATCACCCCGTATTACTTGCAAGGGTAATACTGTCAGACAAATTACAGTCTATACCTCTGTACACAGTGTGGTCTTCTTTTCCACAAAAAAAGATACTAAATTACTGGTAAGGGTTCAGAGGAGGGTATTAGGATTACAACAGGGATGAAAGGGTTACCTTATAGGGATTAGATTAAGACCTCTGAAGTGTTTTTTTTCTTACCATGGGTACTGTAAGTGGTCTATTCCCACAGGACATCAGCTCAAGGGGGGGTACCAATTGCTCGACTGGCTAACAAAGTGAACCAATTGGTTGGGTTAGGGTGCTGAATTTATATGTTGCACAGGGCACCATCAAACATCAGTATAGCACCAGTAAGTGGTGATCTTATTGAAACTTACAAGATTTTCTGAAGGATCAACAGGATAATAGGATGAGAGGATACAAGTTTAAAATTTGGAAAAGACAGGCTAGGCTCCAGTTATGACAGCTATATTTTTCTAACAGAGTGATTGAATTATAGATAGAGCTGAGCAAATTGAATAATCATATACTTAGAAACTGCAATTAATCATAATTTTTTTTATTAATCATCACTCCTAAGTAATTGATTAATTGAAGTTGGTATTTCAGATTAGTAAAGTTTTTGATTATTACAATAATTGATTAATGTTATGAAAATACATCTAAATGAAGGGAAGGTAACTGGTTGGTAGCATTCACAACCAACTCTCTGGCTACTTAAGTGTTAAATAAATGCTATCTAATCACTGTTACTCATTTTAAACTGCTAACTACAGAGAAGGCAACTGGTTGGCATCACCAAAACTCTAGCTACTATAGAATTAAATTGTGTAAATTTACTGTTTTTTTTTTTATCTTGTTTTATGTTTCAAATTTCATTTTGTAACTGTATTATTTAGTGTTGTACACCAAGCACAGATCTAGAGAAGAGGGTCCAAGGAGTCTAGAACTCCACCAATTTTTTCACAGAAATTAGTAACTATTCTTTAATGTCATATTAGCTGTCGAGGTTTTAGGGGAAGGGGGTCTGGACCCTTTCAATCTTTTATTGAATTAATAACTACTTTTTAATTTTGTACAAGTAATTTGGATCTAGGGGAGGGGTTCTGTGAGTCTGAACCTTCCTCCATATTTAACAGTACTACAATGGCATTAGTGTAAGTTTCAAATATTGCTAGTAAACGTCTAGTTGGACACCCCCTCCAAGCTCTCGATCTATCTCCGAGAAGGTGTAAATTGTAAAACCTGTTGTTTTTTCATTCTGTTATCATTTGTGTAACTTTGCTCATTAGTATTAAATAAACTATAAAGTTTATTTTTTTTTACATTGACTACCTACATTTGTGTTCTGGTGGAAGCTGTGACAGGCGTTACTAGCACCGTTTAAAACACTAAAATCGGGGCAAACGCTCCCGATTCCGCAACTCCTTCACATATTCCACTTTTTCATGCCAGCCTTTTTACAATGTGATGAATTAGAAACATAAATTCACTAATCGATTTGCATCAGTAGAGCATTGTCTAATTTATATTTTATAACAGTGTAACAAATCAATATATAACACCGTTAACTTGCGTTAAGTCATAAACCTATTTATAAGAGCAGAACTCCAATTTAATTATGATTAGCTGAGTAGCTCTATGCTCTACTGCATGTACGTCGGACGAAGTACTGAAAAGTGAAAACAAAAGTCTGGCTGTAGTCACACGCAGCTTAGACAAGTCCTAGTAATGCTAATATATACAAGTTGTTTATCTTACTGATATCTCAGCACGCTTGTTTGACAATCTGTTCCAGTCAGTATTTAAAATGTATGCATACTAAATTCACTAGTAGCATTTTTGCAGAATTCCTATATCTAATATATAAAACTAAGCTTGTGTTTGAGTTGTATATATTAACTCTGATGAAGCCGCAAAAGCGAAACGTTGGTTAAAATATTAAAAAAAAAAAACTTTTATGTATATGTATATATGCAGTATAAAGGTCGTTTTTTCTAAACTTTTTATCAATTTGTGTCTGTTTATTTGCACCTTTCAGCCCCTATAATAATAGGCCTATAAAGATATGGAATCAGTGTACTCAGGTTTAATATCTGTAACGTCACATTTTAGTGTCAATGAAAATTTTGTAATCAAATCTTTTCCCACAGAAAACGAACCGGATTTTTGGTCTGATTTAAATGGAAATGACGTCAGAAAAATGTATGTGTATTTTATAGAGATGTGTGCTGTCCTTGTGGTGTCAATAAACATCCATTAAATGCTGTCATGTCTACTGACAAACAAGACTATCTTTTTTATAGAATAGACATGTTAAACTCGCGAAATTCTGCAAAAATAAATTGGTTTTTATTCACTATATTTTGGAAGGAAGCAATGGCCATGCAGAATCAGCCTGATACCAGGATCGAAAAACATTTAACATGAAAGTTTGGTTGACACAAAGAAAGTCCTATTACCTCCACTTCGCATAAAACTGGGTTTGATGAAGCAGTTTGTAAAAGCCTCAGACAAAGATGGCGACTATTTCAAGTACTATCTGGGCAATTCCCAAATCTTTCAGAAGCGAAACTTAAAGAAGTGATCTTTGTTGGGCTTCAGATTAGGAAATTGACTTCGGATGAACAGTTCGAAAGGACAGTAAGTAAAGTTGAAAAATAAGCGTGGATTGCCTTTAAAGATGGTATTGACAATTTTTTAGTAAACAACAAGGACCCAAATTACGAAAATACTGTCAATAGCATGCTTGATAAATTCAAAGAGTTGGGTAGTAATATGAGCTTAAGTTCATTTCTTACACTCATATATTGACTATTTCCCTGAAAATCTCGTTATCGTCATCGAAGAACAGGGGAAAAGGTTTCATTAAGACATCAGGGAAATGGAGAGGAGGTATCAGGAAGGATGGAACGAATTATTGTATGAAAATTTCTTTAATGTTTTAGATGATGTATGGTATTATCGGTGATATATGCTTCTCTGTGGTATCAATGAGTGGTTGGACACCATCTTAGGTTTGTGTCGGATTCGTATATTGAGCTATGAAGTCAACAATTATTGTTTTTATTGTGTCTGCAATAATATTTTCGTTTCTCGTTCGTTATCTGGGTTTTCATGTTGTTTCGTGTCGTTTTGGTTATACTTTCTTTAGGCTTTATGTTTGTGGAGAAGTTTTACTTGTGCTTTCGCTTGTTTGAGAGTTGTTATATGCGTTAGTGTCAGGTTTCTTGCTCAGTCTCGGCTTGACCATGATCAGCTTGTCTTCTGCGTTGGCTGTCAAGATGTATTTCCCTTTCTTGTGGAGTCTCACTGTCGCTTTTTTTGCATAGGTTTTCTTGCTTGTGATTGGCAATCAGAATTGTTATTTCTTTTACTCTGAGGTACATAATCAGCGTCAGAAATGTTTATCATACCTAACTCCCCTCTCAATTTATCCAATGCTGATTTCGTGCTCTGCTGTCCCATTCACACAAAAAACATGGAAACTTTGTATAACCGGATTGTTGACCCAACAACATACCAAGGACTTTTTAAGTCTCCACAAAGTAGCCAATCATGTACTTTTTATTTGATCTTATCAAGAATAAGTTCGAGATTTTCGTACGTTTCCTTCAAGTGAACTGAATGAGCAATAGGAACAAATGCATATATGTTACCATAGTGAAGGTGAACACCTTTTAGACTTCTTTTGGAGGAATCAATGAACAATCACCACTCACTTGGTTCATAGACTGCAGCTCCTAACATTGGTATTGATTGAGCAATATTGTTACAATAAACCAGTGAACCTTCTTACGTAAAGTATGATATAAACTCTTCCTCACAATTTCTGTACCAGTAAAACGATGTCCCTGGAGAAATTAAGTTCTTAGCCCAAAGTCTGGACCCCAAAATCTCTGAAGAACCCTTTGAAAGGCCCAAATCATTAATTTACCTTGTGTGAAAAGTTGTTGTTCACCAGATGTTTTAGGTTGAAAACAATCCCTATCATCATTTCTATTGACATCAGATTTACAATGAGATGAAACTGTATCAAGTCTCTGGTGAAGTAGGTACAAGTACATCAGGTCCATATCAGACTGAAGGTTCAGATAATAATTTTTTTTTTATTTCGAGTGTTGCCAGAGCGACGAATAAATAATTTTGAAAAGAAAACAATAATGTTAAAGTGCATGCACAAACAAATACTATCCAGAAATTACACGTCATGCGGCCTGTTAACCGTTTATATACTAGCAGTGTTTCTAATGGGTTTGATGTTTGTTGTTACTTTATTGTTGAACATACAAAACTGTTTAGTGTAAGTGTTATTATTCAATTTATTTTGTGAGATAATATTTAATGATTGTTTAGTTTTTAAGACAGGAGTGTTGAAGATAGTGTTTTAAAAGTGTTAGTTGTGACAAATTTCGTTACGTAACTCTGT